TACTTATAAAGATTATAAAGTATGTCTTCATGTATGAATTTATTAGACTTTTTAGCAAGGCAAGTGTCTGTAAATTAGTTATGGATATTACATTTTAGTTCTATGGCTTTTATAGTAAAAAGAAAGATTGGAATATATTTGCTTTTTTTTAAACCCTCTGGAGAATGACTGGTAAAAAACACCAGCTGTAGTTCATCTAAATTATGTGCAACCAAGACACCAGCAACTAATACGACATCTGTTTAAATGCTTTCATGCTAATACACTCCTCTCAAATGGCGTCTTTGTTAGTGCGTCAAAGATTATTTACAGAATGAGTCAATTGCTAAATGGTTTCATGATTGTTGAGCGGAATCGCCGTAGGAGGCGGTTAGGACTATTGGAGGCTGTGAGGTCGAGCTCTGGCGCGCAGCGGGGCTCCTGTAGGAGCGGCGCTAATTGAGGAGGCAGAGTCGAGGCGGGCCAGTAGAGCACGGGAGCGCGAAGAGCTGGGGCAGGGCACGGTTCTTGGAGCTTAGCGTGTTGTTCAGATGTATAAAATATGAAAAAAAATTCTCTCTTCCTATCCCCTCTTTTGGCCTCGACTTGTCAACATAGATTCGCATTTTTCTTCTTTTGTAGTTTTTGTTGTGGATATCTGTTTTGTATTTGTCATAGGCCTATCTGATCGACATATTGTCTTTATGTGCACATATATCATAGCCGTTTGTATAAATGGTCTTTCTTCATCGAATCACACAGGGCTATGCTGGTGCCCGTTAGAGTTGAAAATTTGTTAGATTCTACGGTAAAGGCCGCATTAGTTATTATTATGGGCTAATTAATACACTTCAATACGCCAAGTGTACTTAATTAAGGGGATAGCTTTTTGGTAACATTAATAATAATTAACAAATTAATAATGTAATATGTATTTTAGCCTACTGCATTTCTACTAAAGTGTATAAAAACAGTTATTTAGAGTTTATATATATATATATATATTATTTTGTCATATGACGTACTGATATCAGTTGCGTTTCTCGTTTTAATTTGAGTTGGAAGGTGAATGCAGGTGCTCGCAGGATGTTGTCTCCAGCAAGCCTATAAGAGACGCATGTATGCTCGCTCATCACCCACCCACCCACCTGTGAGAATGTTTCGGGAGAGACTTTGGTTTTCAGACTTCTGTAACTTTACAAGGTGTTGTGGTGAAACAAAATCTGAATATTTCTAGTTTTCCACAGTTCATAGGATCTCATCCGAATTAACCTTCAAATGGGCTCTTGCACTCTGATCTTACGGCTGATCCTGTATCATAGCGTCTTGTGACCTCTAAATTACTCTGTAATAGAATTACAGTTTTTAATCCTGCTTGCCAGAACACCTCATCACAGGCTGCTGGGTCGAGAACAACACTCGCGGTATAGGCCTACACCTTTCAAAATGAATGCAGTGACATATATTTTTATGAAATTTGTAATTGAATTGTTAATCGACTTTATCAAATAAACGTCTTTGGTGATTCGTGTACTATCAAAAAACACTCTCCAAAGACAAGTAGTTTTCAGATCAAGGTATTGCTCTTATTACAGTTTAGAACCATGTCGAATAAAAGGAAAGACGAGTAGCCAAAACAGTAGCCTATAGAATTGATAAGGTCTCAACAATACGCCAGGTAAAATATAATAGGTCTAATGAAGTGATGTAACATTTCAGATGTGAGAAGTTCTGATAATGAATCTTTTAAAATATAGCCTAAAATTCTTTCAGAAGCAGCTAAAGATCTACAGTGAGGATGGAAATTACCAAAAGTAGGCTACTGTTTTTGTGTGTGTGGCATTTTACGTTATTTGAAACTACTATGTATTTTATTTATTTATTTAGTTAATTATTAATTATTTATTTGTATTTATCTTTTTACCCCATTATGGGATAACATGAGCAATACAAATACTTTATAAAATAAATGTACCATCATTAAATGTGTATAATAAAAAATAAATTCATGATCTGAATCATGAATTTACATTTTAAATATTTGTTTGGATGATGTTTGTTTATTTACTTATTTATTTATTTTTAGACGTTTAGCGGTTCCGACTGTTGTCGTCCATAGCCTATCTTCTGCTAAAGCACAGCTTGCCACAGTCGCAATAGCCTATTAATTCACGGTTTGGAATCCAGCTTCACGTACCTTGTTCTGTTCTTATTTGTGAGAAGGGGGCTGTTTCGGGAGGGAAAAGACCCAGTCTTGCCAAGAGTGGTTGCACTGACAGGCTATGCCGGGTCAGAGGGAACTGACGCTCATTGAGAACTGCTTGAATACACACGAATAGAAAAGTTGTGTTCAGTTAACCGATGAAATCAGAGAAAAAACAGGGCTGTACAATCTTTTCTTATTGCCGTCTGCGGACCAATTGCATTCATTTGTCTCTGTGCGACTAAGGTTATGGGAACAGTACAAATAATCTATTCTGCCTTTTTGACACCCTCGCCAGTTATAATAGTAGGCTACACATAGGCTTAGAGACTGGATGTGTATGAAAATGTTATGTTGACGTTGTCACGTAGGCTATATTCTGTAGCCTACTTCGTGTAGGCTATTCACATTGCAAGAACACCTGAGGGGGGAAAATCAACTGTGTAACTGAATTATTAGACACTAAATAAGCCATATGAATCTTTATATATACAGCAAGAGAGGGCAGTCTCCTTGCAATTCTGCGAAAAGTAGCCTATATCGTCTGAAGTCGCGACACATTTTCAAGATGTTTCTGTCGTTTTTTATGCAATGTTTATGTGATATCTAAGAAGCCAATATGCAATAGGCGATTCTGGTAAATTAATTTCTTCCAACACACCCAAATTATTAAAGGGCTGTTTGCCACCTGTTAATTTTATTCACAAATAGCTGAATTGATATTACTGTTTAAAAGAAAACTGCTCTTCTCATAACTACTTTATCTGTCCTAAACATATTTGAGACAAATATCTGCCGATAAATTAATGTAGTCTGAGAGGATAGATTGATAAAGATCAGTGTGAAGTGATTGGAGAACTCCATCAGCCAGTGATAGTCCATATCTGGCCACTGCAGATGAACTTGAGAGGTAAAAAGTAGTCCCTCGCGATCAACTATGAATACAAATCAAATGGTTCTTTATTTTAGCGCATTTAATCAAGCTCATTAGGATCAATGGGTATTCCCTTATGATCGCGGAGATTCAGACTTGAGAGGACGTACAAGACATACACAATGCACCCTATAGCCTAGAATTATGAACGTGAGAGAAATAATAAATAATAAACGCAGCCTTATTTAGCATTGCCGGTTGTGAGAGCTAAAAGTTTCGTCTAGTCTTTAAGTTATCTGTCGTAAAACTGATACACATGAATGGAGAAAGATCACAATGGACAAACTAAATAGCTATATAAACAATTTATGGTTGCTCTTATAAAACAAGGGAGTTTTTAATAAAAAAATATTTAGTCATCTATCTGGTTACAAATATCTAAACTATTCTTTAATAATAATCTTCGTTACATCGACAAATTAAACAAGTTGATTAAGCTATTTGTCACATCTTCAAGCCTTTCCTCTATTTTTGGCAACTAAATTAGAAGTGAGCAAAATCGGAGACGCACGAACGAGTCAGCTTCATGTTAGGTAGACTTACAACATTATATTGTTGAGTAAATAGGTATTCTCCATTCATAGGATAACCTTTACCCATAATATATTTTACGTAAATAAACTGTTTGTGTTTGTTAAAGTGCGCTGAAAAAAATCAAACAAACAAAACTTCTATATCAAGAACGGGTTTCTGTTTGTGCATGCGAGTTAGGGTTACTCGCCCAGAGGGAGCTTTCTTCTAGCATAGCTACATTTTGAAAGAAACGCCGTTTCGTTGACTGGGCCAGGGGAGGAGTCCTCCATGATTAGTCAATTTAATGGTGCCTTCACTTAAGTTTTGCATTGTGCACCTTAGCCACTGGCTATTAACAAAAAAGAATACGAATGTTCACCGTCACAGCGAATTTTGTTTAAAAACGTTTCTGTACTACAAATTGTTTGATAAAGAATTTTGGTGCATATGATACACTAGTGATCCACTTATTTAATGCTCTCCAAACTGGGGAGAAAACTTTTTGAATGTTGTTGTGTGGAAATTAGATTTTTTTTTTGTGTGGAAATGACACACATAATACAGTTTTATAACAAAATTGAATACTGTATTTTCAGTTTAGAAACGTATACATTAACAGAAACACGCAAGAAAGTAACATTGAATTATAAGCGCTGGACTGGAAACATGAAATAGACTTGGTCAGTCGATGATGATATCCAATATTTTGTCTTTTGCATTAATCTCGACTGATAATTCATGGTCACTATCGTTCTTTTCATGGCATAAAACAGAGAAACAAAACGCCTAGGGCACTTAATAGTTACGTTTTGACGAATAGTTTATGTAGGGACACCATGCCAAGAAAAGTGAACAGGGATATAAAAGAGAATGGGTATAGCAATATTATTTACACTTATTTCTACACATATATTACAGACTGGGAGAATGATCGCATTATTTAAGATATACATAATTCAATATAAAATCTGGAAATAGAAATAAAAATCTGACACAGTCATAACGATTCAGTTCCACATTTGACCAGTACCCCACACAGGCAGTGACAGAAGTGTAGTAAAAAGGTGCTTACGACTCAAATGATTGTCTGATGAACATAAAGGAAAAGAGGATTGCATCCTGGCTGCTCGTCGTCACTCGGACTAAAACAGAAAAAAGTTGATGGACACCGGTTTCTGGTAATTCCCTCTTCACGGTGGTCCTGGTAGACATAATAAACGTGGGGCATTTCCCCATATATAAAACGAAAAAAAAAAATAGATATATTTAGATATATATATGTATATATATCATGCAAGTGATGGGGTGGGGGAAGGTGTGTGGTCCAATGAAAGCGCTTGAAGAAAAGGCGTGCTTTTGTTTTTCTTTTTATAATAGTAATATCAATTGGTCCTTTTTCATCTTCCCCGATCATTAATAAAGTTTATTCAGGTCCTTTTTCCTGTATATATTTCTCTTTTGCGTATCATACATCGCATTCCGAGTCACTTGACGTTACTGAAAGAATTGATGTGCCCTTGTCGACTCGCTCTGTCATGCTCGAGACACTGGTCGTTGGACTAGCCGCAGTTGATGGCGACTCCGCCGAACTGCGTGGGGTGCAGCCGGATTCTGAAAGGGACCGCATGCCATTCTGCCCTATTGCTTGATGCTGGAGCCTATAGCAGAAAAGTGAGAGAGCGGTATGCTGTTAGAGTATAAAAGTCGTAGGCCATGTTCACTGAAAAACGCGCCTCCATTTTCACGTAATTATTATGCTATTTTAAACATAGTTCTTTAAAACGATATAGGTAAAAATATCTAATATAAATACAATAGATAAAAATAACATTTGGTTACATAGTAAAATAGATGCTACAGCTGTTTATTTATTTTACATACGATTACATAAAGCTTTGCGGCTACATGATTAAGTCTACATACCAAAATATTAGCATATGTTTATCGTCGAGATTTGATTGACTTCTCATGATATCTAGTAATGATACAATTAGTTATTGTATTTATTTGTATTTTTATATGTTCAAATGTCATTAGTTAAAGATGTCAGTTTTAGTATGCTGCTTAACCAAAGTGTCATAGTTCTTGTTTGTTTACCGATTTGTAATCATCCAGTCAAGTGCAATTTGTAGATTGATCCATTAAATAATATAAATCAGTTACACCACTCAACATGTTTTCTCATTCCCTAGACACAGTAGCACTTAGCGTTTAGGAGGAAAAATAATTTGACAACATCTGAAACACCACTCACTAACAAATTTACGCCGTGTTATCTGTAATATAATTAGGAAGTACACTGGGAAGTGAAACAATTAGCCTAATAATTTGCAAGATGTCAAATATAGCAAACACTGAGCCTTACAATAATTTGTAGCCTATAATGATTTATTTCTCAATGCATGTTTGTCCGCACAGTAGTTGTACAACTATATCTGTAAAAATGTCTAAGAATGTTAGTGATAAACTAGAATTATTTTGAATAGACAGTTAATTTCGGTAGATTTTACTTTTCCAAATATAGCAACAGAGAAATGCTATAGGCCTCCTTACATTACTTTTTAGACTTCATTCATATTTTGTATTATCGCTATATCCATCAGTTGGAATGACTGTTAAATTAAGGTTTAAATACTTGATGTGTAAAGACGATAAAAATACTAGCTTTTGTAACAGTGTAAACAGAACACAATAGCTTTGCTGTGAAGCATACACATTTGATTACATGTTATTTTTGCTATTTCAGATTTCATCAATGAATCAGGAGAACCTTTTCTATTTGCATCCTTTTTTTCACGCGTTAATAAAAATGATACAGGTATGTTTTATCTACTTGCTTTTATATTCTGGTTGATACTTTCTAAACAACTTACACATGGCACAAATAAAATGTCGTCGTTCTCGCTCCCTCGTCTCTAAAATCTATTTGATTCTGTTTTTACTGCAGTACTTTCTACCTTGTGTTCACATATTTCACAACAATTCATTTATTAGTATATATTTAGTACTAATGATGAAACACTTAAAGCGAACATTTCCATTGAAAGTTAATACACAACGTGACTGACCTGTTTTTTGCTGCCGCTGCCCTGTCTCGTTGTCTCCGGTTTTTAAACCAATTTCCGACCTGTGTAGGAGTGAGTCCAGTGGCTTGAGCCAGTTCCCTTTTCTTGCTGGGGTTTGGGTATGGGTCCTGAAGGTACCACTCCCGTAACAGACCTCGCGTCCGCTCTTTGAAACAATGCGTCTTCTGCTCACCGTCCCAGATGGTTCTAGGCAGGGGAAACTTCTTTCGCACCCTGTACTTATCAACCGGTCCTAGGGGACGCCCGCGTAATTTCTCGGCCTCCTGATAGTGAGCTTCAAGCCACATCGCTTGTAGTTTACCATGCGAGTCCTTGGTAAACTTGTGGTTCTCCAGAATGTGATAGAGATCACGAAAATTGCCCGTGTGAAAGGCAACCACAGCCCGGGCACGTAGGATGGATTCGTGCTTGTTGATCGCCTCGCAAGCACCCGGTGCCACTGGAAGCGACCATAGGAAGCGACCCAGCCGCTCTATGTCCCCGGTCTCCTCCAGCGTCTCGCAGACGCTGGCCACTTGCTCCGGAGAGAAGTTTAGGGTCGGTAGCTGAAACATTGACAAGTCTTCGGGAGACCTGGTGCTGGGCGCACTGCTCGCCAAGAGCAAAGGGCGATCAGCAAAGTTTGGCAGGAAGAAATGAGAGGGATAAAGCTCTAAAGGCGATCTGAAAACCATGGAAATGACCTGAGAGAGAATGAAATTTGCGAAGGAAAAAAGAACGACGAATTCGGATTGAATGATTCAATAGCTATCGCCTAATGACACCAGCCTCATAATATCTCCCCCTAAATCCACCGTGAGTGTAGCATTGAAATATTTTGTTTCGCTTTTCTATTGGTCTTCTTGGTGTCGTTGTAGGGTTGTCATGGCAGCCCTGCCAATCACTGTCAAGCGTGCCAATCATTAGCCAGTACGTAGAGGCTTTCACCACTTCGGCTGCACGCACGGGGGTTATCAGGAACTCCAATCTCAGCAGCACCCTCCCTCCCTTGACTCGCGTGAAGTCGAAGCAGAGTCTCGCCTATTTGTTGAATGGAATGAGCAATTAGTGGGTGGAATATTATTGTGATCTTAACGAGGCTCGTTAAAGTTAAGAAGATATGTAGGGAGAGAAGGCAGGGGTGGGGTCTCGGGATGACAGTCACGGACAAGGGGATTTAAATGAAGCGCTAAAACGGAATCTGCGACAGGATACACAGATAGGCTATTTCATTCGTTAGCCTCGTATGAAGCTGGAGAAGATACGATGTTGCGCCGGCACTCTTAACCTATAAATACAGTAGCCGTAAAAACAAGTAGCCTATTGCATTTTATATTTAAAAAGATCAGTTTGTTCGCTGTGTATACGCTGAAAACTTCAGGGTCGTTTTTTAACTTAGTTCGCATTTCGGTACGAATTGACTGCTACTCGCACACAGAGACAACCGTTTATAGTGGACGCGCATCTCTGTTGCTCCGCTGATGCTTTACTATGCTCAGAGACCGAACACTGGCCCATTGCCCGTGCATATTGAGGAATGCACGTGATCACTGATGCATATTTTATTTTATTTAAACAAACTTTTCTCTTTTTTCAGTTACAGATAGGCTATATACCAATATTGTGCACGACTGCAGATCGTTAAAATGAGAAAGCCCGTTTCACGAGAATGAAAGACATCATCTTTATGTCACGAGATTCGGCTTCCAATGGCGTGTTGGTTTGGGTTTCTTGGTCTGCATCAAAGAGTTTGTGCTGCGTTAGCCTATATAGTGCTTGTGTCAAAAATGTAGAGTCCAGGAGGCATAATGAGACGCAGCGTCCAGACTTTCTCTAAGCTAATGCTGAAATAATTTAATGCATTTTCCAGAATTGTTCAGGGATTCAGAACTCGTATGTCTCTTTCGGATATTCAATTCCATCTTTCCAAATTATTATTCATGCAAATGGGATAATACAATTTATTTGTATTATTTTTTTTATTTCCTACTTTAGTATTATTATAAGATTTACATATAGCTAAATGTAGTGCAAGCTCGCGTGTGCTTAGCAAAATGAGGGGCGGGGAAGAGATCTTAATTGATGTATTGGGTCATGTTGTGTCACCAGGATCAAATCTGCTTGTTCTCCTGTCTCAGGAAACTTAAGTGAAGGAATTCCAAGAGTCACTTGAAGTGGTTCCTTTGGAAAGATTTTTGGACTGGAAATAACCTGTTATTTCATTGTTGACCGTATTTTAAAATCATTTGGTCAAGCTTTTTTACATTTATAAAAGCTCTTTATTCTGGCATACGATAAAGGCCTTGCTCTCTAACATGCTTAATGCATACATTTTGGTAACATCAGTGTTTGCATGTCACGGTTAAAAGATGATTTGCAAAAAGTACTCGCACGTAATAGTGGAAATGGCTTAAAACAGAAAAAACGTGGCAAGTTGTGCAAATTCACTTTGTTTAACATAGCCTTTGTTTTCGTTAAGCAAGTCATTAGCATCCCCAAATAAGTTCATTCACCTGGTTTAATCGTCTGTTTATCCCCTAGCTTTCATTGCTCTGTTCTGTGCCAAAATCAGCAGGAGGCAAGGTCCTCAATACTGATGAATGTTTAGCTCCGTCTTTGTTTATTTGCTGACGAGGACTATGAAATAAGAATGCAATAGACAGTGGATTATTTCGCAGAACATAATATTATTGAAGCCTGTGTTTCTATAATAGTTTCGGTATTTTTGAGTGAAGTGACATCAGGGGTTTGAAACTTAACGCGTAATTTCAGCGTTCACTCTCTGAGGAGCTCTGAGAGAAATATAGCTTAAATAAAGATAAGTGTCGTCAGCATGCCAGAGATCATTGAGAAGAGTTCGGTCGTATGAGAAGGTAAGCAAACCATTTCTTTGCTCTCTGTTCAAACTTACTCTCACTTCTTATCACACGAAAATGTGTCCTCCCATACTCTCACCAATGTTGGCAACTATGCGGTTAACATGCATGAGTAATTTTGTGCATTGTGTGGTGAGTCAGGGACTTGCAAGTGTTTGAGTAGGAAAGGGCACGGGACAATGCCTTCTCCGGTTTATTTCATTTTAAACATTTATTCTGTTTTTATTTTATTTTAATTTTTTTACGTCCACTTAGGTCATTACACATTGCCAAACAGGAAATCGATCTCCAGGTGACGGCTGCAGAAACATAGTTCTATCAAGAGACCTCTTCTCGGAAGCAGTGTGGTTTGAGTCTTTCTAGTTTTTCTCTTTTCTTAAACTAACTAATGAGCTGTGAAATTTGACGTGGTTCCATCGATTTTGATTCAATGCTCACTCTTTTTTCCTTTTATGTCACGTCTCTTTCGTCTGTGTTTTGCGCTATTTTCCCTGGTTTCATCTAGTTATAAATAGGCTGATATAAGCTGTTTTCTAGTGCTATACTGCAGCAGTACCATCCAAAATGGACTTGATTTAAATGTGGCTATGAGTTCTGTGTTGCTTGCACAAAAGTGGACATCTTTGCATCATGTGAGTTTGAATCATATTACTTATTTTTAAAATAGCTAATTGTTCCAAGAGACTCACCAGAGAGTTGATCAAGTTCTTAAGAGTGTTTTGGGCTTCGTAAAAGACACCAAGATGCAGATTATAAAGCGAAAGTGGTAGAATAATCAAAAAACATCGTTCAGTACCACTCAGAGCCATGCGTATTCCCAGAATCTCGCTTGTGATGTTATCAGCCTCTGCCGGGACGTTGCTCTCCACTCCCTGAATTAAGCGAGACAAGTGCAGCTTGCAGCGTTGTGGGGCCGTCGTAACGGGGCGCAAATGTCCCTTTCTATTCGCTCTGCTCAGGGTCTTAACCTCGGCTGTATTTTGAATCTGCTTGGCTTGTTAAATGTAGGTAGCACAATGGATGCGTTTTATTACTTCTGCCTATATGATGTCACACATAGTTATGTAGGTAGGCAATATACCATTCAGAATAAAGAATATTAAGAAGAAAAAAAAAGTTTAGAGTGATAAATGTTTGAGATGTGTTATTTGAAAAAGGAAATTTGGTCATTTTATAATTTTGTTATATGCCGATCATCGAAATCACTCTATGAATTTCTCTATGGTTAACTGATTTGAGCATTATTTTTTATTTTTTTATAATTTACGTGCATTGGATATAGTAATAATTATTTTAGTCATTAGTTATGAGTTCCTGCAACCTTAATGATAAAGTAGATTGGCCCCCCCCCCCCCCTTTTTTTTGACTGGGGGAGGGAAACAGGAGGCGAAATGGGAGCACCATTTTCAACAGAGATGCCCCCCTCCACCCCTCCCCCTCCCTCCATTTTTTGTGTGGTCTCATTAAGTGGGCATCCTGCTAGGTCTGCGGAGTTATACGGGTGCTGTCCAATCACTGCATTTGCACGGCTTGTTAGCGACATTTAATGAGGGTTCTCTGCG